GAGGGGGAAAATCCTATTTTAAGAAAGCGGGCTGTCATCTCCACCCTCCCCCCCCCCCCCCCCCTCACCTCCACCCACGCCTGCCCCCTTCCACGTGGGTACGTTTTTGATGCCGACGCAAGCATTGATGGTACGTTCCACAAGCTCATCACGAATAGTTTGTAATTTGCTGCCACCTAGTGGCTAGCAATGATAGCAGTAGTTCCCATGTCGCCTGCTTCGCTGCTGCGGCGAATAATGACCGCGTTATTTTAGCGTTTGATGTCATGTCAGTCCTGTATAAATGCATTTCTTGATATTTGCACGTTGACTTTTCTTGAACCTAAGACTTTTTGGCAGTCACCAAATTCTCCAAGTACCCGAGATAGTTTACGTAAATGTTGCCGAATCGAGGGCCTCTTCCACTTCTCCGCTTGCTCCGACTGCGAGCTCTTAGTGTCTCATGAGCGCCGCTGCCCTTCCTTATTATTTTTGTAGCGACTTTCTCTTCGTCCTCTGATGTTATCTGGCCCTCACCTTTGGGATCACCCGGGTCCTGGCTGCCATCTCCGAACGTTGCCTCGTCCTGTGCTAATCAACCTGCGGTATCGTAACATCTCTGGTCCGTTCTCCGCCCAGTCGACGACTAATGCCTTACGTAGACGCTCGCTTGTTTCATGACTGGGCTCACTGACAGTGTAGGTCATCTGAGTGTCCTACCATGATTTGAATAATGCAGCATGGCCCGTGATGCATGCCAACGTTAGATAGCTTGGACACCAAGAACCCCCAGACTGGTCCCCTGCTGCGAGAAGATACTTCACACGGTGGCCACGGTAACATAACAACGTTAGATAGCTCGGACACCAAGAACCCCCAGGCTGGTCCCCTGCTGCGAGAAGATACTTCACACGGTGGCCACGGCAACATAACAACGTTAGATAGCTTGGACACCAAGAACCCCCAGGCTGGTCCCCTGCTGCGAGAAGATACTTCACACGGTGGCCACGGTAACATAACAACGTTAGATAGCTCGGACACCAAGAACCCCCAGGCTGGTCCCCTGCTGCGAGAAGATACTTCACACGGTGGCCACGGTAACATAACAACGTTAGATAGCTCGGACACCAAGAACCCCCAGGCTGGTCCCCTGCTGCGAGAAGATACTTCACACGGTGGCCACGGTAACATAACAACGTTAGATAGCTCGGACACCAAGAACCCCCAGGCTGGTCCCCTGCTGCGAGAAGATACTTCACACGGTGGCCACGGTAACATAACAACGTTAGATAGCTCGGACACCAAGAACCCCCAGGCTGGTCCCCTGCTGCGAGAAGATACTTCACACGGTGGCCACGGTAACATAACAACGTTAGATAGCTCGGACACCAAGAACCCCCAGGCTGGTCCCCTGCTGCGAGAAGATACTTCACACGGTGGCCACGGTAACATAACAACGTTAGATAGCTCGGACACCAAGAACCCCCAGGCTGGTCCCCTGCTGCGAGAAGATACTTCACACGGTGGCCACGGTAACATAACAACGTTAGATAGCTTGGACACCAAGAACCCCCAGGCTGGTCCCCTGCTGCGAGAAGATACTTCACACGGTGGCCACGGTAACGTAACAACGTTAGATAGCTCGGACACCAAGAACCCCCCGGCTGGTCCCCTGCTGCGAGAAGATACTTTACACGGTGGCCACGGTAACATAACAACGAGTATGTTTGCATGTGACTGTTCTTATGCTCTCTCGGTTACAATCGCGACATGCAAGCTTGGTAGCTATAAATATGCCCAGAGGTGTGCGTCAAGACAGGCTGGGCCCCAAGCATCGCACTTTGCTTAGCTACAATCCGGGATGAAGAGCGTTTCCGCCGGTCTTTCGTTAGGCCATGTGCAGTCTGGGACGTATCCACGCAATGGCCGCCAAGAGCACGTCACCTTCCTCTTAATAAATCTAGTGCATAAATCTGTCTGAACAACTAAATGTTGACGCGAAAACTTACGGGAAAACGAACAGAAACTGAAGAGCTACGATACGCCATGTTGTTTCATGTACGCAATAAGTTTTGCACGCTGGGAACGCGCTAAGCTGGGATGTCAGTGAGAAATTCTGGCTGTGTCCTCCCACGCCCAGTGCGAGCTCCTGCACACGCCCCCAATCGCAGTGACTTTTCGAGAAGATCGCTACCTATCGTATCAAAGTTGAAAATTTCAAAAGTAGCGTTGAGACAGAAATACTGGTCCAGCCATTATCTATGCATTCAGCAGTGATGACGCACGAACGGATAAGTGACATTTTCAGGTTGGTTCATCAATACGCTGCACACGTTTTCCACTTCTCCTGCCCCACCGTTTTTTGTTTTCTCTTTACATGCGCTGTGGTGTCTGTGTTTCTCTCCAATCCCAAGATTCCCTGATCGGTTAGACACAACAACCACACTACACATGCCCGTACCGGAACAACTTGGGCTAGGATCTTGGAATGATGCCTGAGCTAAGATCCTGGAAATATATCTGAGCTAGGATCCCGGAATGATGCCTGAGCTAGGATCTTGGAATGATGTCTGCCGTACTGGCGTGAACAGTTGCTTCCCTGGGGAAACTAGCATATACGTAAAGAGCCGTCCACACATCACGCTACGCATTTTGGCAACTTTTCAACGCAACTCCTTCTTCCTTAAGCACTAGTTACTTTGGGCACAAGCTTCCTCTCCCGGTTACGCTGTTCTTATTGTAACGTCCACGTCGCTTTGGCGTCCACTTGGCCCCTAAGTGAGTTGGAGGTGCGGAACAAAATCGGACGTGTTTCTCGTCATAAGAGGAAGCCAATGGCATCCATCTTTAGGGCTTGAAAATGTTGTAAAATATCATAGCATAATCTGCCACTACAACTGAACCCGCCACTGCGTTGCCCAAAGACGTTCTCCCTCCCCCCCCCCCTCTCTGTTACGCTTCGATTACCCGCCTTCGAGCCACCCTTCCCCTTCACAGGAAATGTATTTATGGATGCGCCTTCTGCAAACCAATTCTCGTCTCCCGGAAGTCTATGGATGGGTCGCTTATAGCTTCGTTCACCCGTTTGCTCGGTTTGTGTTGCTTACCGACGCCGAACGAAACAAAGACATTTCAGTTTGTTTTATGGATTAAAATGAACACTATTTACATAGACATCGTGAAACAAATTAATGAAAACAACGACGCCGTGATGACATAATTCTCATGGATCGTGCATTGAAACCAACAACGGAGAGTATTTTTTCAACAACGGAGAGCGTTTTTGTGCGGCGAGGAACGAAAATACCATTTCTGAAACGTCAGGTAGGCGCGGATAACCCAGCTAAACCACACCCCGTCAGGGGTGAGTCACGGGGTCCGCGTGACCCCAGGGCGAGCGCAGCGCGGAAATCGCCGAACAGAAAATAGCCCGGCGCGGAGTCGGAAGCCAACAGGTCGTAGCTATTGCTTGTACTAAATGTTACGTACACGATTGTCACAGTCCGATGTCTTCGGCCCCTGATGGCTCGTCCGCCTCCCGCCTGACAGCAAGCACCGTTCAATGCCAGCCCGCCACGCCACACATCAGATACGCACTGCTCAAACCCGTCGCCACCGTTCAGCGGGCACCGCACCGCACCGCACCGCACCGCACCGCACCGATTCCACGCACGCTGCAGTCCGCCACGATAGGTGTGGTCGCCGTCCTCGCCTCCGAGATCATCCCGCCACAGTAACAACCTAGCTGCCAGCCTGGGGCGCTGATCGTGACCGGCTCACGAGGCAGCGCGAGAGAACGCGTGCTAGGCACCGCAGGGAGGACGCCGCGCGCGCCGATCTTTGGGAGAGCAAGCGAGCGACGCTACATTGCACTGCGCAGCGGCAGAGACTCAAATCACAAAAAGCAAAGGCGTTTGACGCCTGCCGAAACTAATGCATCCAACGGTGGCCTCGTGTGAAAAGGGCGCATTGGCCAGCGCTTTTCGTATATCACAAGCATATCCTACATTCAAAAATTGCAGTGAGACGAATGCACTTATAGTGCGTTGAACACTGCAACAGTGCAGTGAGCCTAGCCACCTACCTCATCCTCCTGCAAACGGCCTTAGTGGCTAGCAAACAACCAAGTGAAAGCGTTCTAAAATACGGTGCTAGTATGGAAACGTATTACGTATCGGTTATACCACACAATCAGTTACGTATTCCGTTCCTAATCACATATGCAGTATTGCGTGATACGTTTTTTCCGTACAAATTGGACGAAGCACAAATGCACACGGCACCGGCATACATAACCTTTCGCGTAAGGTCCTACGCACGGATGGAAGTGACCCTGGGAGAGGTCGCTGCCACCTACTGTCCGAACATGTCAGACCAGGTCGAGATGATCTCCCTCCCAACGAAGAGGGCGAAGATCAACCGTTCTCAAGCGTACCCGATGGTGAAAGCTGTATGTCGTTTTAAATTGCGTATAAAATACAAATGGTTTAAACATATCATCACCGTGCGAATACAAAAGACTCCAAATTGCTTTGGCTCTCCGTTTCGCCCCACCCGGTGTAGGTGTGTACAGCCTCTGCCACGTGGCGTGCAAGGAGTGTTGTGTAAGCCGGCGTCATAGACGTCATGTCCAGTATCGGTGTGAGTTGGGCGAGCGTGCTGGACAGCCTCACCAGCGGTCCAGACGGATGTAAGGCCGCACGGCGTCGGGCCCAGCCTGACGTCTGTCTCTGACGTCTCTGGTCGTCTGACGTCACCAGCCGTCGGTGGGGAGATGACGTCACACGATGGGTGACTGCAGGCGGCACAGTATTGCCTGACCCCCCGGCGCTGGACACCACAGCTGACGATCTCATAACAACACGAACGAGCACCGACGAACCGATGACGTCACCTGATGACGCGATGACGGGCCCCGAGGTGCCAGTAACCTGGTGATCGGGACCGAATGTTTCCACAGCATCATCCGCGGCTCCGATGAACGGCCGGCCGAATATCACTGGGCCAGCAGCAAGCACCACCAGCCCGCGCCAGCATGCCTTGTCCTACACAGTAGCCAAATAATATTTCACCACCGCAATCGCAGAAATGCTGATAATTTACGCCCCACCCGGAGATTTTTCCGCATCTGCCACCTCCACCGACGCCGCCTTGTCGTCCGTGGTGTCGAGCGTCCTATGCTCCTTTTTCCACTTCATGCGCCGATTCTGGAACCAGATCTTTATTTGGCGCTCCGTCAAGCACAGCTGGTGGGAGATCTCGATTCGACGCCGGCGGGTCAGGTAGCGGTTGAAGTGGAACTCCTTCTCCAGCTCCAGCGTCTGGTACCGGGTGTACGTCTGCCGACCACGCTTCCTGTCTGGAAAGAAAAACAACGTTGCGAACCGTCACTGTCGGTGCACTGTGGTGCGAAATATGGGCAATAGCGCGCATAGTGTTGTCGTAAAAAGGTACGCAGGGTAGGAACAAGACGATACGAGGATTCGAGACGAAGCAAGGAAATAACATGTTACATTATCCAGACAGAGGCCCACTGAAGTACGACTAGGATCGCTTGGTCTTCGAAGAGCCACAGAATCCCCTGAGGGCCCTGGAGCATACGAAACGATCCACGAATAGCTGGGGGCTTACCAAGCCTGCAAAAACAATAAAACGTCGCTTGTTGGGTGGGAGGGAAAGGGGGCGTTTCACACATCTATTTAACTTGAAATTGTTATAATGGGTATAAAGTGGAAAGAAGTTCTTCCCATTATATTGATGGCAGGGAGATACCGCATATGTCGTCTTGTCGGCGTGTTTGATGGGCCGTTCAAATCTTTACAGCCTCATTCGCATCGCGAAATTGCAGATGGTGAGCAGCAAAAGTAGCGAAGGGTGTATCACCTACGTCGCCAGCTAAACCTACGAGAGTTGAACCTATTGACGCTTGATCAACTGGACACGACTACACCCTCCCCTTAAACCGTCGCGACTTAGCCGAACGCTGTCATTTAGACTGGTTTCAGGACACACACGCTGAAGCGGTGCAGTCGTAAATCAAGCCTGGCACCACAGCGACCTTTGTGGCGCGCTAAACACGTCGTTCAGCCGTGTTTAGCGTCCGGACAGCCGCGCACGTCTTGGTGGCGACGCCGGCGACAATACTGGCGCTGGCGGAGCTACCATGGCGAACGTCGGCCAACGGCAAAGGCACAGAGGCCGGACAGAGCGTAGTAATGAAGAATGCTTGGCTTCAAAGTTCCATCCCTCCCGCACCTTTCCAGTGCATGTATGATATGCAGGTCATAGCCCAGGAAGCAGTGACCTGACGAGTTGTCTGGCGATGGCGTCTGACCAGTGTTGAGCGTGGCGTCTGACCAGCGTTGAGCGTGACACAGTGTATAAATCATATGGAGTAACCAGTAGCTCCGCCTGGCTATGACGTCTGACCAGCGTTGAGCGTGACACAGTGTATAAATCATATGGAGTAACCAGTAGCTCCGCCTGGCTATGACGTCTGACCAGCGTTGAGCGTGACACAGTGTATAAATCATATGGAGTAACCAGTAGCTCCGCCTGGCTATGACGTCTGACCAGCGTTGAGCGTGACACAGTGTATAAATCATATGGAGTAACCAGTAGCTCCGCCTGGCTATGACGTCTGACCAGCGTTGAGCGTGACACAGTGTATAAATCATATGGAGTAACCAGTAGCTCCGCCTCGCTATGACGTCTGACCAGCGTTGAGCGTGACACAGTGTATAAATCATATGAGTAACCAGTAGCTCCGCCTCGCTATGACGTCTGACCAGCGTTGAGCGTGACACAGTGTATAAATCATATGGAGTAAACCAGTAGCTCCGCCTGGCTATGACGTCTGACCAGCGTTGAGCGTGACACAGTGTATAAATCATATGGAGTAACCAGTAGCTTCCGCCTCGCTATGACGTCTGACCAGCGTTGAGCGTGACACAGTGTATAAATCATATGGAGTAACCAGTAGCTCCGCCTGGCTATGACGTCTGACCAGCGTTGAGCGTGACACAGTGTATAAATCATATGGAGTAACCAGTAGCTCCGCCTCGCTATGACGTCTGACCAGCGTGAGCGTGACACAGTGTATAAATCATATGGAGTAACCAGTAGCTCCGCCTCGCTATGACGTCTGACCAGCGTTGAGCGTGACACAGTGTATAAATCATATGGAGTAACCAGTAGCTCCGCCTCGCTATGACGGATATCGATTAGCATTATTATTTGTTGGGGGCTTACGAAACATGCCATGCAATTGCGGGGTGCAATATTAACACTGTTTTTTTTTAGTCTGAAATGGTCATTAGCCTATTGAAAACCGACGGCGTGCCTGTGGTGCCGTTAGTATCGTAATGAGCGCCCAGGCGCGCTCGGAGTCTCGTGTCGAAGGCTTGTTGCTTATAAGCATGGCTAGCTTCCGCTGCAAAGAAACATGGCTAGCTTCCGCTGGTAAGAAGCCTGGCTAGCTTTTGCAGCTAAGAAGCATGGGTAGCTTCCGCTGGTAAAAAGCATGGCTGGCTTCCGCTTCTAAGAAACATGACTTGGCAGCGTATTGTTTAGCAGCATTCAGCATTGCAATGTTTTTGAAACAACTTTTTAACAGCCTCTCCACTTTATGACCTCATGCTGGCCCCAAATGCCATCGACATTTCTATTTTGGTTGATCGAGTCTGACGTTTGGCTGGTTCAATCGACGCTTCTGTTGGATCGGCCGGCACTCCAGGACTAGAGTCGGTGGATGCGGCGCAGCTGCGACCAGCGCTCACCGTGGACATACACAGCGCGTGGACCGACACAGCGTAGCCGCGACCAGCGCTCACGGTGGACCGACACGGCGCCTACGACAGGCCCATTTTAGTTTGTTTTATCGCGACCTGATGCCTTAAACCCTCCATAAAAATTAATAATTCAACGGGAAGTTTCTGTGGCCCATTTCAGCATCACGAATAGTTTATAGTGCAAGACCGGTTTCCGGCACTCGTGGCAACACACTCGTAGCCGCGCATAGACACCTCCACACTTCAAACCACGCACACACGGCCAGCGGGTCGACAGAGGGGCGCACCAGCGGGGTGTGTGATGCATTTAATTTTCAAAATCGATATTGTGGAGCAGTTAGACCAGTCGTCCGATCCCGTATCAAAGTAGGAAGCACATAATTGGTGCCAGCACTCAAGCTGTCATGAAATGCGGACTGGGACGTAAAATTTCGAAACGTCAAATGTATACCAGTTAAGTGGTTTGTGCCGAAATGTAATCCTCCGGATAGGAGGCGCAATACCTGAGTGATGGTTGGCGTGTGCTGGCAAGACGAAAAAGAAGGTTATTAGGAAGGAAGGAAGGCTAATTAGAATAGTGGCGCAGCGATGCTCTCCCCTGCCTGCTAGGCTCCCCCGTGGACGAGCGGCGCGATTCTCTACCGTCGAGGGCGTCGGGGCGGACAGGAAGGAGGCGTTATTCTGCTGAGTTGCGCGGGTGATCGAGATCGGTCTCTCTCTTTCTGCATTCAAACGATTTCAGGACACACGCGGCGTGGCCAGTGGCACCCCCGGATCTGGTGAGATCTCACGATCATCACAGAACCGCGTTCACGATACTCCTCAACTGAGTTCGTGACCCCCGCTCCCGCTGGTGCATCAGTTGAGCTCGTGACGCCCGCTCCCGCTGGTGCATCAGTTGAGTTCGTGACCCCCGCTCCCGCTGGTGCATCAGTTGAGCTCGTGACCCCCGCTCCCGCTGGTGCATCAGTTGAGTTCGTGACCCCCGCTCCCGCTGGTGCATCAGTTGAGCTCGTGACGCCCGCTCCCGCTGGTGCATCAGTTGAGCTCGTGACGCCCGCTCCCGCTGGTGCATCAGTTGAGCTCGTGACCCCCGCTCCCGCTGGTGCATCAGTTGAGCTCGTGACGCCCGCTCCCGCTGGTGCATCAGTTGAGCTCGTGACGCCCGCTCCCGCTGGTGCATCAGTTGAGCTCGTGACCCCCGCTCCCGCTGGTGCATCAGTTGAGCTCGTGACCCCCGCTCCCGCTGGTGCATCAGTTGAGCTCGTGACGCCCGCTCCCGCTGGTGCATCAGTTGAGCTCGTGACGCCCGCTCCCGCTGGCGCATAGCACTCACCGAACTGCGCCTTCATCCAAGGGAAGAGGCTGCCTGGCTGCTGGATGGCTGGGCACGGACCGCGGCCGAACACGTCCTGCGCGAGGTAGCCGTCACTGCCGAGCCGGCCGGCTGGGGGCGGACCGCGGTCGGGCGCGGCTGCCCCTGGGCAGTGGCGCGCGACCGGTGGGCGCTCGCCCTCCGTCGCCAGATACTGCGGACAGCCGGGGTCCGACTGCAGGCCGGCCGGCGCGGCGCGGTACATGGCCGCGTACGCCTCGGCCGCGCCCGCCGGCTGCGGGCACCACGGCCTGCCGCCGCGGCCCGGCGCTGAGCTGCCGCACGAGCTGTTCGGCGCGTATTGGCGGGGGTCTGTGGCGGCGGCGCGCCCGTGGCACGGGGCGTGCTGCTGCGGCTGGCGGCTGGGACTGCTGCTGCCGCTAGGGGACTGGGCCTGCAGCCGCTGCTGATGCTGGAGCAGCTGCTGTTGGTGCAACTGCTGCTGCTGCCGCTGCTGCTGCTGGTGGTGGGGGTTGTGGTGGTGGTGGTGCTGTTGCTGTTGCTGTTGCTGTTGCTGTTGCTGCTGTTGCTGCTGCTGCTGCTGCTGCTGCTGCTGTTGATGTGGATGCTGGTGGTGACGAAGCTGCTGGACCGGTAGAGGCGGTTCCATGGTTTGAAAGAAGCCGCGTGACGCGGCCGGGGGGCACTCGGGTGGGATGGCCACGAAGTCAAAGCCCCGCCCCGGACACGGGTGGGTCGCGTCCGGCAGCGGGTAGTCTGTTTCGCGGTACGGGTCGTTCGGCATTCTAGGCGTTGCACTGCGCCGGCGATATCGCGCTACACACAACACTACTGATCACTTCGGCACGGAACGCCGCGCATCGCAGCCTCCCGTCCGTGATGGCGCTCCGCCTGCGGACAGGGAGAACGGACGCTGTCAGTGCCGCCACATCCGGAGAAAACGTCTTATACAAAATCAGCGCGCCACTTGTCTTCTCAGCGGCAGGCGGCTGAGTAGTTCATTTGCTAGGACGGGTTGCCAAGATGAATAGCTGCGCAGGATATTCTGGAGAAAACTGGCCTATGACTAAGAGAGCGTTGAACGTGAAACATAGCCGACATCTGGCATTTTGCTATACCAACATATGAGAGAAAACACTTGACGGGCGTGCAGAATAGAACGCGGTTCGTTGGCCGACCACAGTCTGGACACAGAACATATGGCTTGGCTGTAAGCCACGCTTTGAATTGATGGCCCCTCTTGAGCTCGGTACAGCCGGATTTGCTACCTGCTGAGTAGTGACCCGTACATCATCGGCTAACGATGCGCAGATGACAGTTTCGAATCTCGTGGTCACCGATCACCGGTGACGCGATCAGCCAGCACTTTCGGGATATTCTGAACAAAGTTCATGGATGGACGCACCTGACCAGCGTTACAAGTGAAAACAAAAATATAGTGAAAAGCGGACACAAGACCAGATTGGGCAGCTGAGATAGTTTATGTGCTAACACGTGGTGTATCGTTCTCTAGCTGCGCTCTCAACCACAGAATAAATGGCCAGTTCGCGCCTCGAACCCAGCGGTTACACCCATTAAAGGCTTCAGCAGGGTCAATACTTCCACGGTGCACAGTCGCAAATGGCTTGCACCGCCGATTGCGCAGGTGATTCATGCGCTTCCTAGCGGACGCCATGTATTTCCAGAGCGTGGAACTCCTGTTAATTAGAAACTTCCCGGGACTGGAGGCATAAATCCTTCCCCGCCCTCGGTCCGTCTCGTAAGTCATGCGTCCCCAAAACCCTCTCTGAGGGGCCGAGCGGCCGCGCGCACAGGCCCCATCCCCGCTGGTCAGTTACCCTGTTTACATGGGCAGCTGTGATTCGAATTGAGCCGGGACCCGTCCTCGATCCGAACTATCCGGCCCATGTATACACTCACGCGCCGTTCCGCTGATTCGAATCGTGCGTCGGAGGAAATCCCTTCCCGTGAGAGGATCATCCGTTCAGGAAGGGATTTCGTCCGAATTATCGGCCGTCAGCTGTCTAAACAAAAAAAAAAGAAAAAAGCCTGGCGCACGCAGTTCTGTTCATGGCCATTTCAGCTTCGTTTGGCGTCGCCGCTTTTCCACGGGTTTTTAGCTATTGCTCGAGACGGTCCAAGTCCAAGATGGTAAAGGAAAAGAGAAAGAAGGTGAAGTTGACACCATGCTGCTAAAACTACCCTTATTTTTGAGGGCCTTGAGTGGCTAGCAGCACAGAAATCCTCACGTAATTTAGCCTTGCTAGGCGCGTGATTTATGCAGACAGCAGGCGTCGGCGGTGCTTGGTGTTATCTTTCCGCCTAAAGGTTAGATTAATTTACATCTGGGGCAGGCTCCATGCTTCCAAAAGCCAAATGGAGGTAATATGGTCATTTTATATAGCTTTGACTTGTTCTCACTTTAATTTTTGGATTGCTCAAAATTCTTGCAGAGAATGCCTCCAAGTTTCTTTCATTAAGTTAATACCTAAAGGCCCCAGGAGTGTTTTTGCAGATGTTCCTTAAATTAGGATGCTGGTTGCTTGTCAGTTAAATTTGTGTGAGAAAGGTAGCTTAAAAATTGCTGCATGATATGACGGATGAACAAATATAGATCATTGCAGTCAGCTCGGAATGTGAACTTTTTTAATGGTAGGACCGAAATTGCCCAATGACGGGGTCAGAACAGCAAGAAAGCAAATGTGAACACTGGATGAAAATAGTTGTCATCATTACTCTGCTAAATCCAAGTTTGTGTGTTCCATGTGCAGGAAAACAGTGCATAAACTAACACCTAACGTGATTGCACACGCTGCATGGAGAACACGTCTGTGTTGCATATCATCACCTGTTTTTGTACTGATGATTAAATATGTCACCTTGGTGCTTTTTTGTGATGGGTGTCTGCAGGCCACGAGGTAGGTACTTGAACTGTTCAACAATTCTTGCAGGGAGTACCAATAGTTTCTTGCATTAAGTGAATACATAAATGCCCGAGGATTGATTTTGCAGACATTCCTCCTGTGACTTGAACATTTGGTTGACCACCTATTGGCAGGAGGGATGTGCTGGATATTGGTGACTGGCTCATCAAGGAAATATGAAGCTACATCACACTGGTAGACCAAATGGCAAGGAAGCGGGGGCTGGAACATTTGTTTTTGATGCGATTAGGCTGTTTGTTGCTTGTCGGTTTAGTGTGTGTGAGATAGGTAACTCAATAATTCCTGCATGATGCAAAGGATCAACAAATATAGGCAATAGATCATTGCAGTCAGTGCAGAATGTGAACTATTTTTAATGATGGGGCCAAAATTGCCCAGTGATGGTTCCAAAATGTCAAGAAAGCAAATGTGAGCACTGGATGAAAATAGCTGTCATCAGTACTCTGTCAAATCCAGGTTTGTGCATTTCACGTGGAAGAAAACAGTGCATAAACTAAGTAAACCTAACATAATGCCACATGAGGTGCAGAGAACATCTGTGGTGCACATCATTACCTGTTTTTGTACTGGTGAGTAAATATGTTACCTTGGTGCTTTTTTGTGACATGTATCTTTGCAAACCATGAGGTGGATAATTGAGCTGTTGTTATAATTAATCATTTGTTATTAATTTTGAGCCCAGATTGCATTTGTCATGACAGCTCTGGGGCTGGTTCACATGTTATGATCTTTGGACTGTGCGAACACAGCTGTTTGTGCCACCTAGCCATCAGTCCATATCAGCCAATGCTGTTGACTGCAAGGATATCAAAGCAGTATTTCAACCCTAGTATGTCAAGAAAGCAAATAGCTGCATTCTGACTTGCCAGTCCATGCCAAGTCTAAATGGCAATGCTGCCCTCAGGTACTGATGATGCATTGGATGGGGAAAGACAACATAGTTACACAATTTTTGCCACTAAATATGTAGCATTCATGAGTCATTTCTGTAGCTTAGCTCACTGTTGCAGGCTGCTCATAAATGCATTAGTGTGGGAGTAGGTAATGTGTTTCTTGGGCTGCGCAAAGTAGATGACATGATGCTGGGTGGCATACTGATGAGTGTGGTAAGTTTGTGAGTGTCGTTGGCCAATACAAGAAAATAGTGATTTCCTGCTAGCCAAAGTTTCCCGCTAGTACAAATTTGCATATAACACTGTTTATGTGACAGATTTGGCAGTGCTGACTGCGCAACTCTTGTGTTTCAAGTGCTCTGGCTTGTGCTGTAGCTATAAAGCCTATGAGTCCCGCACAGATCATTTTTCCAACGGAGTCCATCTTCCTCCTCGCCCTCAAAGCTGTCTCGCGCCCACCATGGCTCGTGACATTCGCCATCCATACGCAGAGTACCGGCTTTTTTCTTCTTGTTTTGTTCAGTTCGCCTCAAAAGCGCAGTTTTCGCCCATAATCCGTTCCTTGATTCGAACTAAGCGGGATCGAACTATCGACCGTTAATCCGACGTAAAGCCGGTTTCGCCCATGTAAACGCCCCTCGCCGAGAGGGTTAACGTCGCATGATCCGTTCCGATCTTAATTCGAATTATCCTCGGCTGCCCATGTAAACCGGGTAAGTGAATGGCTCTTTTTACGAGCCGACGGGCGTCGGCCACGTTTGATCGTGGTCCACCTCCGCTGGTTGGGATGGATGTGATCCACCTCCGTTGGCCGGGGGAGATGGGGTCCACCTCCCTTGGCCGGAGCCGGTGTCGTTCATCTCCGCTGGCCGGGGGCGGGCGTGATCCTCCTCCACCGGCCCGGGTGGGTGTGGTCCATGGTCCATCTCCGCTGGCCGGGGGCCGGTGTGGCCTATCTCCGCTGGCTGGGGACCGGTGTGGCCCAAGGCCGCTGGCCGGGAGCCGGTGCGGTCCATCTCCACCGGCCAGGGGCGGGCGTGGTCCTCCATCGGCCTGGGTGAGTGTGGTCCCTGTTCCCTCTCCGCTGGCTGGGAGCCGATGTGGTCCATCTCCGCCGGCCGGGGACCGGTGTTGATCCATCTCCGTTGGCCGGCGGCAGGTGTGGTCCATCTCCGCTGGCTGGGGCCGGTGTAGTCTATCTCCGCTGGCCGGGCAGGTACGTAAAGCTTGCCTTATTGGTATTCCGTGACCAAAAAATGCTGATAGTACAGAACAGTAATAATCATAAAGAGTGATATGGTAAATGATGTTAAGAAATATGAGCCTGAGCCTCTTCAGGCGGTATTAGCCTTGTCTTTTAAGCGTTCTCACGAGGAGGTACAGGACACTAAAGTGGTGCATGCCATCGGTGCGAGCGTAACCTGGCGCTGGAGTGACACTTCAGCAGGGTGCTTGACTCGCCGTCCGGCCCGCACAGCCTTTGCGGACCGTGGCACCCCTGTCCACGCCTCGACTGGTCGCCTCACACCAGCCCTCGTACTCTAACCACCAGTTAGCGTCAGCCGCTCGCGTGAAATACATCCTGTGTATGATACCGCTGTCTCGAATCCAGCATTGCAAACATGAGGCGCCCAATTCCGTTGTCCGCGCCTGCTAGACTGCGACTAATTGTGTTCCGGTCGCGGTGGGCAGACGCATAGATCACCTCGCTGGCGTTAATGACGCCGGCGCGGGCGGCGGCCCGCAGCTGCACACTCGACCTGCTTGCCGGCGCCGGCGGCCCCGCGTGTAAATCAACGCCGCCACCAGCCCAGCCGCCGGCCACGCACCGTCGGCAGGCGGGCGGTCCGACCGCAGACGCCTCTCCAGTTCCAGCTGCCCCCCCCCCCCCCCCCCGCCACGGTCGGCACAGCTGGGTGCTGGCGGCGTGCTCGCGGAGACTGGGC